TCCAACATTATTGTTTTGAGTGCCAAAATGGTAAACAGTTACAAATTCTTTCCCCTCTTGAAAGAGAACGCTCAACATTCTTTTGAACACACAAAACTAGTGTGAAAGTTCTCTTTTCCAGTAGTCATTAGGATTAGTTCCTTTATCTTCTTTTCAGAGTGCTGTGTTTACAGACAGGCTTGATTGGTTACACTTAGGTTTATGATTTATTTAGGTCTATGATTTCCAGGAGGTGTGGAGAAAAGGACTAAATATGAGAGCCACAATGATGAGAGATTTGGGAAGCCCAGATCAAAAAGAGAAACCCTAAGAAATGAATATAGCGGTGCACGAAAGTATGTCATGCCTTTGCAGAAGGTATTGCTGACACCTCTCAGGGATGAGTTAGACTGCTGACGAGGGTACTTTCCAAAAAACTCCGGCCCATAAAGCATCATATTTAGTGACAACCCTGTTCCTTGACCCCCATCTTCTCTACTCATGACTTCTTTTAGACGCAAGGCTGAGGAATTCTAAGAGAGAAATAAACAACTGTTACCTGCCTGAAGATAAAAATCTGTGTTTTAGGGGGGAAAAAGCCCTAAAACTTAAGCAACAGCTGCATTTGTAGATGCCAAAGCACAAAGACTTTCTGTCTTTATGGTACTTCTCTCTTATTTACATGGTTTTTGCTAATCCAAATAGTTATGTGCTCATGTGGGTAGAATTGTTTGCTACTTGATCCAAGAGAGATGGGTGGGGAAGCACCTGCTTTTAGTCATTAAAATCCTGTTGCTTTTGCACTGCACCCAAGAAAATAGTTAACAGACAAAAAGTAATTTGCCTTTTCCTGAGAATGAAAAGGAAGACCTGTGAAGAAGAGCAGAGAGAAACCTGAAAGGTGGGTTTTCTCTCTTTATTGAAATGAAACCATCAGGGACTCCACAGGGGAAAATTCCTGGGTTTTGGTTCTTCCTGCCCTTTCTCCCTCCCTGCCATGGAAGTCAGCAATTGGAAGAATACCAGTTTTTGTTCCTTATTGGTGCTGCCACCTGTTCTTACTGCTGAACTAAATGTTCTTGGCTTTCTTTGGTGTGAACAGGATCTCCCTCTGGAAAAGGTGGGAGGAGGGTGAAAAAGGGAACAGGAGGAGGCCCGTTCCAGCCCTTGCTCATGTGAGAGGGACACACAGGGGTTAGTGTGCTGCCCTAACAGAGGGGCTTTGTGCTACAGCTTCTTCCAGAGCTGTGGCTCCACAGATGCATGCTGGGTGGGCTCAGGCCGCTTCATCCCTGATGCGCTTGCTTCTTCCTAACAATAGCTGGGCTAGGCTGATAAGAATTGAAATAAGAAAATAAAGAAGATGCAGGCCGAGGCTTTTCTGATGCCTTCAGATTTAGTGTGTATGGAGAAAGGTGCCTGTAATTAAGAGGTGAGAAAAGATGCCGCTGAACACAAGAGCCAGCCTCGTTGCTGGATAGCCATGGTCTGTGCAGGCAGAGCTCTTACTTTAGGTATTTCCCCTTCGGTGCTGAAACCCTTCTTATCTAGGTCACGGGAGATCTGCTTCTCTTGAATAGGAGCAACAGAATAGAGTTTGGTCCCTACTCTCAGATCTTAGAGGCTGGGGAGGTAGCTCAAGGGAGAAGCACTTCTGATTCAAGGCCCACTTTCAGCATAGGTCAGCGGTGACAGGCTCCTTAGTAACCTACAATGACTCCCAATATAATAATAACAACAAACAGATAGTACTTGTATTGTCAGGCATTAGTCTAAGAGATAGGTAGGTAGGTAGGTAGGTAGGTAGGTAGATAGATAGATAGATAATTTATTTAATCCTTAAATAGCCTGAGGAGGTAAATGCTATTATTAATCCTCTTAAAAGAGGACACTAAAGCCTAGAGAAGTAAAGTAACTTGTCAAAGGTCATACAGATGGTATGTAACAGGGCTGGGATTTTGAACCCAGATAGTCTGGTTCCAGAGTCTACGCTCTTTCTTTACTGTTCCTCTGTGCCATCTCTCCTTGGAGCCCTGCCCTTTCTCAAACAGGGTCATCTGACCCACAGAACACAGGATGTGATTTGAGTGACTGTTTTCTTAATTCCCTCTGGAATGGTAGCATAACTAGTGCTATGCATGGGAGAGAAGCTAATTCATTATGAACTGTTGCTGCCTTAGAATAATAGTAGGGCTTCTTGAAGAAACCCATTGGGACTAAAGGGACTGTAGTTTGCAACTATCACATTTGTACAGAATTCTCCTGGAACTAATTTCCTATTAGTTTGTTTTGGAACTAATTTTGGACTCTGAACAAAGGACCAAACCTCATCCATTCCTTGCTGTAGAGATAGAGCCTTTGTCAGCAGTAATGTCTTACCACTAACAATTAAGAGGAGCGGGTGGGAACATGATAGTTATAGTGATTACTAAATTTTGCCAAACTGAGGTGACTTTCTTTCAGCAAATCAAGTAAGAGAGTAACATGAGGAAGACAGTTCCGACTTGAAATGAGCAGAACAAGGTTTAGTCCCATTTTGAACTAACCAATTATATTACCTTAAGAAAAAGCTTCACCTTTTCTAGGTAACTCTTTATCTGCTTAAAAAAGAAGAGGGGGGACTTAATAATATATCTTCGCTTGGGCCGGTCGAGTGGCGCGTTGGGTAAGAGTTGGCTTGGGACGGCAGCTCTGAGCAGCAAGGCCCCAGTTCGGATCCCACATTAGGGCCAGTGATGCTGCGCCCTCTACAGCTAAGATGGTGAACAACAGCTCAACTTGGAGCTGGGCTGCTGTGAGTCACCTGTGATGGCGTAGGCTGCAGTGGGACTGATCAGCAGCCGTGGTGAGCTTTCATGAGCTGCCGTGAGCGGCCGTCCAATGGCTGGCAAGCGACTGCTTTACCCAGGAAGAGCGCAGTGATAATACCAACATGGGCCAGTGAAGCGACAAAAGGACAGCAACTTGTCTGTTCCCCTTCCCCAATTCCCCAATGCTGTTCCCCTCTCCCAACCCCCCCCCCCCCCAAAAAAAAAAAGAATAGACCATTCTAGGTCGGTGGGGCCTTCTGTTCTTAGATCACATAGGTAGGTTTACAAAGTGGTCTCATTAGTAAGTCTGAAAAATAACTCTGGGAGTTTTTTATATGAAGAAATTACTAACAAGAATTTCAAGCAAGTTCTAGTCTTTGGCGCACTGATGTGTAACTCACTGTTGAGGGAGCTGTTTATCTGGGTGGCTCAGTGAGAATCTGGGCCATGTGCTGTCAGGGAGCACACTCTAGTCTCTGTGGGAAAGGCCCAGCACCACCTGAGAAGGACGCCTCAAGCCAGGTGCCACTTGTTGCCGCTCTGTTTCCATTCTCTGGACATCACATTCGTCATTGTTTCAAATGTAGGTAAAGATGGAGAAGACAGATACATTTAATTACACCACGATAAAAAACTGCTGCACATAAAAGACACCAGAAGACTGGAATAAGATCTTTGCCACAGTAATACTCACAGAAGACCTAGAAAAACTAAATGTAGTTTGATGGACTAAAATTAACCAGTCTGAGTGTATTCATTGTTGGCAAGGATATGGGGAAATTTATTTATATTCCTGCACTGGTGGAAGTATAAGCTGGCATAGCGTCTTTATAATAGCAAAAAATTGGAGATGGCCAAAATGTCTCTCAGTAAAGCAATGGATAACTAGATGTGGCATAGTCACCTGATAAAATACTATGCAGCAGGGAAAAGAGATAAACCAGGTGCATGTGTATATTTTTAATGCAAAAACAGATTCATTTGTAGGCACAATAATGAGGAATAGGATGCTATATAAGGAGGCAGTCTTCTCTCAAGTGGAGAACGTGACTCTTAAGAGGCTGACTTTGGGTCCTACTGCAGTGGGGAGACTTGCTGTGTTGCCTTCAGGTGTCAAGTCTCCATCTGACACTTCAGCAGGCTTTTAAATGTCTTTCTGCTGGGCATTTCTAATTTCTTATGATATACAAGCTGGTCTTCCAGATAGCCTGTGTTCCTCTTCTGTTTATCCAGGTACTTTTGCGTAAAGCATGAGTTTAATCACCGGAAGGCAGATTTTACCCTCACGTTTTCTTAGATATTTTAGGAACTGCTTTGCATATTCCCTCTGTACCTCAGCTTGGTCTTCGAAGATTGCAACAAAGAGGTGCTCCTGTGTCTTCACTGTAATAACAGGCCATAGATAGATAAGCTCCTAAGGTGCCACTTGGGTGTGTATATGTGTGTATGTGCATGCGCGTGTCATTATGGGTAGATCTCAAAAACTGCTGAATTTTTTAAAAAGTAAAATTCCTTGTGATATTTTGTACATAAACAAAAAAGTACACACACACAAAAGTATGTGTGTGTATGTATTTCTAAATAATACATAGTGTTTATATGTATATATATAAAAGTATTCAAAACAGAAGATTATGCAACAAACTTGTGATGGTGAGTGCCTGATAGAGAGTGGGTGGCCTTAAATTGGGACTTTAGCTTTATCTATAGATTGGAAGTAAAAATGATGGAATGTTTATTTCTCAGTGTTAGACATGTAGGTGTTATATCGTTGTACTTTGGGTAATTTTATATTAGGTAAACAATTTAAAAGAGAGGGGCCAATTTTCATAGAATCAGCCCCCAGAGAATAATTTGCCAATCCATTTCTGTGTAATTTATCCTTATTTACTGTAGACCTCTATCTGTAACAGAGGAAATGAGATTAACTCATGACTCATGACAATGGTCTCTCCTAATATATCCTCGATGGTATCACACTCAAATAGAAGAGCAACAATCCTCATTCTTATTAGAGGAGCATCATGGCCTTTATTCTGACGCTCGATTTTTCACTTTTTTATTGCTAACTAACTGCAAGCATATCAACTAGTAGGGAGTACATTTGGTTCCATAGCTATGAGCGTGGAGATGCTAGCACGACAGACTGGGATGTGTAGAAGCTTAATAACAGCCTTGTGCTTTTCCTCTTGTCTAACCTCTTCCCTACAGGGAATCTTTAACCAGTTTCAATGTAGTAGTGAAAAAGTGCTTCCATCTGACACTCTCCGCAGTGCTCTGGCAAAGACCTTCCAGGATGAACAGCGTTTCCAGCTGGGAATCATGGATGATGCTGCGGAGTGCTTTGTAAGTGCTGCCCTCTGGCTCTCTTTGATAGGGGGCGGGACTGTGGATGGTCTCCATCAGGGACTGGCTGCTCTACTTGGTTACCTCTGGTCTCTACAGTTAGAACTAGGAATTTCCCTAGTTTCTCAGAGCTCTAGGGTATCTCTTCTAATGCAGTATGAATTGCCTCGTGGGTATATTCTTTTTCCTTCAGGCCTAGGGTAGTTTTGTGCTTGCCATTGCACTTCAGAGGAGACAGGGCTCATTAAAATACAAGTGGCTGGGCCCTACCCCGTTGAATTTCTGATTCAATGGATCTGGAGCAGGACCCAAGAATATCTATCTCTGACAAGTTCCTGGGTGATGTTAATACTGATGTACTGGTGTGGGGGCCACACGTTGAGAACTCCTGCATTACTAAAGATAATTAAACAGAGAATAACTGAGTTCCTAGTACAAGTGTAATGTGCTATTTAGGTACCTAGGTTTCTCACAGTAACTTTTAGTGGAAGAATCTAACTCTTCTGAACTCTTGGTTCTATCCAGCAACCTTCAAAAGTCTCTCTTTGTGCACCCGTTAAAAAAACCCAGAGAGTGATATACATCCTATTACAGGGTAAGGCGTAGGCCAAAAGCAGAGGTACTCCTGAGATACTAGATCGCTGATATATGGCTGGTGGGATTGTAAAAATGGTAAAGCTACTTTGGAAAAGTTTGCCAGTTTCTTTAAAAACTAAACCTCCAAACCACCATATGATCAGCAGTTTCATTCCTAGACCTGTATCCCAGAGAAATGAAAATGTATGTTCATACAAAAACCTGCACGTGAATATTCATAGAAGCTTTATTCATAAACTTTATTCAAAAACTGGAAAGAACCTAAATTCCTTTAATGGGTAAATGGTGAAACAAGCTGTGGTACTTCTAAAACTGGAGGCCAAACGAGTCAGGGGGCTCGAGTTGCCTGCGCTGCTCAGCCAATAGACCGACACAGGAGTTGGGCCATAGAAGAAACATTTATTGTCAGAGCACCGGTGGTGTGAGAAGGCAGCAGGTTAACACCTCCCAAAACTGCCTTCACATTCTCAGACCAGCCTGGGATATTTAAGGCAAAATCTGGACATTCCTCCAGAGCCCAAGTGATGGTTCTGGGGGTCCGTATGGAGCCTCCCCTCTGGCGATGTGGCTCTCCAACGTGGTCATCAACCCAGGAGCAGTGGTGGCAGTAACCTGGGAAGAATGCTAAGCCATGGAGATTGTGATCATAAGCAAGGGGTATTGTGACTAGTAAGCAAGCATAAGTTTCAGGGTAATTATCTAAAGCAGGGAACTGGGACACGGGACATTCCAAGCTCAAATCACAGGGAGGGGGCTGATCAATTGTTAAACTTTAGGGCAGGGAGAGGGCGAGGCCAGGGACCTTGCAAGATCTCTATTGTGGGGGTCCCAACCAGGCTCTGTTTCATTTCCACACGTATAGAATACTACACAGCAGTAAAAAGGAATGAACTCTTGATTTAGCTAATAACTTGAATAGATCTATAGGGAATTGTGCTGAGTAAAAACCACTATATCCAAAGGTTATATATTATATGATCCCACTTATATAACATTCTTGAAATAACAAAATTATAGAGATTGGAGATTAGTGGTTGTGAGGGTTTAGGGTTGGAATTGGGTGGGTAAGACCATAAAGGGATAGCTTATGGTAATGGAATAGTTTTATATGTTGATTGTGGTGGTAGTTACATGTGATAAAATTGTATGGAAGTACACACAAACACAAATGAGTGTATATGTAAAACTGGTAAAACCTGAATAAACTCTAGATTGTATTGATGTCCATTTCCTGCTTTGGATATTGTACTGTAGTTACGCATAATGTTACCATCGGAGGAAACTGGGTAAAGGGTACATGGACTTCCTATACAGTGTTTTTTGAAACTTCCTGAAAATTTTTAGTTATTTCAAGTTAAAGTGGTAAAAAAAATCAGAGGCATTCCTACCTTCTAGGAGGATTGCTATTTCTCCGAAGAAACTGCCAACTAATTTGTACATGTATCTGTTAAGCATTCTTTATATACCGTTTTTGTTCTTTCCCTGTTAGGAAAACCTGCTGATGAGAATTCACTTCCACATTGCTGATGAAACCAAAGAGGATATATGTACTGCCCAACACTGCATCTCCCACCAGAAATTTGCAATGACGTTGTTTGAGCAGGTGAACCCGATTTCTATCCCCATCACTTCTTAGACCTTTTGTCCAAGAACCCTTTATCCTGGGATGTGGGGGGTCGAATGGATGCTGAAACAAGTTAATGACTATGGCTGCTTGGTTTTGTTTTTTTCTTCCCGGGCCCAGTGTGTATGTACCAGCTGTGGCGCCACTTCTGATCCGCTGCCTTTTATCCAGATGGTGCATTACATCTCCACCACTTCCCTTTGGTAAGTCTTACAGTGCCCTTAGGCCCTCCTTCAGTTGACTGGGTTTTAACTGAAGGCATCCAAATAGCTTATATCCTTACTTTTGAGTCTGCTTTATTGTAGGAACTTAAACAGTAATTTAAAAATAACCTTTGTTCTCCTTCTTTCCTCTCCCATCCTTCCCCTCCTCTTAGACTCAGTTCTGGCCAGCAAAGTGGGAGGTGGGATGAGGATTCTATGAGTGCTGGATTTTTTAGGGCAGGCAGAGGCACTCACTGTGTTTGTGGAATACCGAGGCTTGTCAGGACAGGGGGCTTTGGTGTAGTGGGCAGTGGGAAAAAATCTAACATGTGAGTTAGGAGTTTGCATGAATAATTTATTTGATTTAGTTATAACTCTGTGTAACTCACACCATCATCCCCTTGTATTCTCCCTCTTGAAGCAATCAGGCTATTTGTATGCTGGAAAGACGTGAAAAACCCTCACCAAGCATGTTCGGTGAGCTGCTGCAGAATGCCAGCACCATGGGGGATCTGCGAAACTGCCCAGTGAGTGAAGTCAGGGGTGGAGTTTGGAGTGGGGCGGGTAACGCTAGGATTAGTGGAATTGAAGCAGAACCCCGTCAGAAACATGTCAAACTAGCCTTTCGTATATATTTCAGAGCAACTGTGGGGAGAGGATTCGGATTCGCCGTGTGCTGATGAATGCGCCCCAGATTATCACAATCGGACTGGTCTGGGACTCAGACCACTCAGACTTGGCAGAGGATGTTATTCACAGCCTGGGTACCTGCCTCAAGTTGGGAGATGTGAGTGTCTCTGACTTAGAGTTCTTATGTTTCAGCCTTGCTCCAGGGCGTGAACACTGAACACAAAGGTATATCCTAGATGACAAATATTATAGAGTTTTGGACAAATATACTTGTGTACGGTAGTCACCCCTTATCCACAGGTTCACTTTCTGTGGTTTCAGTTACCCACTGTCAACCATGGTGTGAAAATATTAAATGGAAAATTCCAGAAATAAACAATTCATGTTTTAAATTGCATGCCATTTTCTCTCCTTCCTGCCTGGGACATGAACCATCCCTTTTGTCCAGTGTATCCACACTATATACACTCCCCGCCCATTAGCCACTGAGTAGCCTTCTCAGTTATCAGATCGACTGTCACAGTATCACAGTGCTTGTGTTCAAGTAACCCTTATAGTAGCTTAAAGTTACGTCACAATGCTTACGTCATGCACCTCCCTTCATCTTATCACATAGGCATGGTATCATCTTGCATCATCACAAGAAGAAGGGTGAGTACAGTATATTAAGATTTTGAGAGAGAGAGACCACATTCACATAACTTTTATTACAGTATATTGTTATAATTGTTCTCTTTTATTATTAGTTATTGTTGTTAATCTCTTGCTGTGCCTAATTTATAAATTAAACTTTATCATCGGTATATGTGTATAGGAAAATACATAGCATATGTAGGGTGTGGTACAATATGCAGTTTAATGCACCCAATGGGGGTCTTGGAACGTCTCCCCTGTGGATAAGGGGGCACTGCTGTGTGTGTGCACATACATGTGAATGCATATAATGCTCACATACCTCCTTTGGGTAGGCAGCAAAGGCTTTTCATAAGAAATGGGATGACTTTGTCCTTGATAGGATGGGCAGAGCATAGCTACTGGTGAAAACCACTTGATAGAGTCAGTATCCAATGTAGAGTAGGGAAGTGTATTTGACCATGGGAGATAGTAAGGTCGCAGAAGTGAGCAGTCCTGGGCCGGCCGAGTGGCGCATTGATTAAGAGTTGGCTTGGGACGCCAGCTCTGAGCAGCAGGGCCCCGGTTTGGATCCCACATGAGGGCCAGTGATGCTGTGCCCTCTACAGCTAAGATGATGAACAACAGCTCAACCTGGACCTGGGCTGCCTTGAGTCGCCAGCGACTGGTAGGCTGTAGTGGGGCTGGCCGGCAGCTGGCGTGAGCTTTTGTGAGCTGCCGCAAGCGGCCGTCCAATGGCCGGTGAGCAACTGCCTCACCCAGGAAGAGCGCAATGATAATACCAACATGGGCCAGTAAAGCAAAGTCCTCCACAACTAGACTGAAGAACAACAACAACAAAAAAACCCCAGCAACTTGTCTGTTCCCCTTCCCCAATTCCCCAGTAAAATCTTAAAAAAAAAGAAAAAAATGAGCAGTCCCAACTAGAGCTGCTTTGGGGGATGAAGGAGGTGAAAGTTGGGTGACTTCAGCCCTAGAATATGAAATTCACAGTATGTTGAGAAGGTAATGAAGTAGTTTGGAAGAGAATTTAGTGGGTTAGTGGTTTTCCATGTGTGAAAATAGGCAGGGAAACAGACATCAGACCTGGGGTCTTTACCTTATCAGCTCCATGCCCTAGTGAGGGTACAGCTGGAGTTTTCCTTCAATTCAAGAGAAGGAGCAGAAACTCTGCGGTTTCCTTTTTGCTTGCTTTACTCGGGGTAGTCCTATGACTAAGGAGAACCCATGTTTTTTATTACCTTTAAGCCATGACTGAGAACACATGAACGACTTGGGATCTTATTTTAGGTCTTCTGCCCAAGTCTCCTTTTTCTAAAATCCTCTAGCCTATATATTATCTGCTGTTCTAGTTTTATTTTAGTTTTTTTATTGTTTCCTCAGCCAAATAAGTGCCTCAAGTCAAGAATCATTTTCTTCAATTTTTTGTTGTTGTTTTTTGTTTGTATTTCTCCTAGCACCTAGGACAGACAGTGCTGGACATCTAGGAATTGAAATGCTACAACCAGCATGCTGATATTGCTCTTCCTAAAGTCTTTCTTACCCGCTACTTAGGGTCTCAGCAGGAAAGTTATATTTGTAGTGCTGGCTGGTAAATAACATTTGAAACTTGCGAGTTTTTGGTTTGGTTTGCTTTTGGTTTTCTAGCTTTCCTGGCTCCTCTTATAATAGGCCCCAGTAAGAAAATACTGAAAGGCATGGAGAAGCATCACCACCGTACCAGTTTACTTGCTTTACCCTACATTTGGCCTTTTTAGGTTCTTTTTTTTTTTAGCTGAGCCATCCTGTCACCTGTTGGCAGCTCAGTGGCAGCTCAGCTCAGGCCGGGCATCGAACTGCTGTTGCTTAGAGCTCGTATTCCTGAGCGAGCTCTTAACCAACTGAGCCACTCGGCCGGCCCTTTAGGTTTACTTCTGATGATTAATATGGACTAGCAAAAAACCTTAGACTGAAGGGCAGAGAAGCAAGTCAGTATCTTAAGAAACAGTGGAGTCTGCCGAGAGATGAAGTGAGAGCTGAGTATGTCGCTATTCTTTCCTTTCTCTTCTTTCCCCACAGCTGTTTTACAGAGTAACAGATGACCGAGCCAAGCAGTCTGAACTGTACTTAGTAGGAATGATCTGCTACTACGGCAAACATTATTCTACATTCTTCTTCCAAACAAAGATCCGCAAATGGATGTATTTCGATGATGCTCATGTCAAGGAGGTAGGAATATTCAAGCCCTTCTTGAAGTGTTTGGGGACTGCAACAAGAAAGTGAAGGATAATTATGTGTCTTTAGTATTTCATTTTCATACTTTTAATGTCTGTCTGCCTATCTGTTGGATTTATGAGAGTATCAGTCTTGTCTTCCCAAATAGATGGCAAGTTCCTCAAGGATAGGATGAATATATCTTCTATTGTTTTATCTGAATGCCCTTAAAAGACATTCAGCACAATTCTATATTTATAGTTGACAAAGTGTTTATTTTTAATGTGTCAATTGGTTGATTTGAGCGATAACAGTCTAATGCCTCAAATTAGGTTATAAGGTTAGTACAAAGTTTAGAATTTCAAATCTTAGAATTATTAGTGGGTAATATTTTGTTTTAGGCTGCTATACATTATTCTCTGATTGTTATCTCCCTGATGTGCCCTATCACAGAGTAACATGTTTTGAGGTCGTGTAGAGAAAATAGGGCTATGATAAGGATATTTAAAGCTGGAAAGTTGGTATTATCTAAACCACTGAGTCTGTGGATGAAGTAGCTTAGGTGATCTGCATGAGTTAGGAAGCTTCTTGTGATTTGGTTAACAACGATGAGATTGCTTAGGCTATAATCTACACCAGTCCACGGACTTTAAGCACCATCTTCCACAAATACAAGTCTGTCAAATTCTCTAATTCTCGTCTTCATCTCTTTTTTGCTGTTGTAATTTTGGGCAACATATAAATTCTTTGAGCTTAAGTTTTTTATTTGAAAAATCATACCCACCTTATAAGATGATATTAAATAACATTTGTATGTAAAAGCATATAAATATGTTTTAGTTAAAATAATGATAACTGAGTTATAAATTTACTTCATTATGAAATAAGAACTATGAAATAGTTCTATTATGAAATAAGAACTGTGTTAGTTGTCTGACTCCAAGAGCACACCATCTAAGAATGTGACTAGTTAAGTTCTTAAGAGAGGGGGACTTTAGGGATTTGATTGGATTGTTGTTTCCATGGCTATTCGGTCACTCTTTCCACTGCCATGGCAGCACTGAATCCAGCACAAAGCTAAGGCCGAAAGGGTCAGCTGTCTATTCTAAGCAGCTTGACATTTTATGTTCTGCCATGTATGAACTCTGAAGTGGAATGTCATTTATTCTAAGGCAGTCTGTGATAGAGTTCCTGTCTGTTCTTTAGCTTCATAAAAGGGATTTTAATGTTTAGAAGAAAATTATAGAAATGCAGATTTCAAGCAAGGGCTTTAATTTGATGTCTGTGAAAAGAAATTGATCAACAGGCAGGTGAAGTCCCCTCATATATAGTATATTCACCTTTGAGAACTTTTATTCATATTTTAGAGCAGAATTGCTGTTTCATGGGAATAAATGTAATTTTATTCATCATTCCTATCTCTTAGAGGATTTTAATGCTTTTTAAAAGGATTTAACAAAAAAACCACTTATCCAAAAATTCATTAAGTTTAGGTCTAAGATCCCTTTTGTTGTCTGTTTATCCAATTCTGGTCTTTTTATCTTTTATTTTCTTTAGAAAAACAGAACAGGAAGATATGTTTTGAATTGTGGATATGAAGTATAATTGTCATGTTCTTCTGGTTGTTTCTGGTTCAGATTGGGCCCAAATGGAAGGATGTGGTGACCAAATGCATCAAGGGGCATTATCAGCCTTTGCTGCTGCTTTATGCAGACCCCCAGGGAACCCCAGTGTCCACCCAGGACCTGCCTCCCCAAGACGAGTTCCAGTCATACAGCAGGACATGCTACGATAGTGAAGATTCAGGTGAGCAGCCTAGCTCTTACCTCTACCCTTCTCTCTCCAACGTGATCACTGGACTCATATTTGGGAGTTGTCCTGAATCATGAGCCTAGCACATAGCCTAGCTTGGAGAAGGAGGATTCATTAGAGATAAGAAAGAAGTGCCAACTAATGCTGAAGCCCAGCTTGTGCCAGGCTCGGTTTTCTTTAGCCTCCAAGAATGTGTTGCCTACATCACCTGGCCCCAGTTCAAAAGTGAGAAGGAAATATGTTGGTTTAGACAGAGATATCAAGTTTGTGAGGGAAACCTCAGTATGTAACCTTCTAATATTGATAAAGATGACTGATCTTACTAGCAATTTAACAGTGACTTAAGTGAGTTGTTAAGACCAAGAGAAACGATAGGAATTACCGCTAGTCATATTGTTAGGGAAGAGAGATATTTATTTAAAATGCCAAGTGCAGTATGATATTCCTCAGCTTATGAATCAGTTGTTCGCTTCTGATTCAATTGTTTGGAATTTAAGTTATGTTTTTCTGTAGAAACAATTTGCAGTTTGATGGCTAAAGTCTCAGGTTAGCCCACAGAGGCTCATAATATGTTAGAAATATAACGCTAATGGTTTTGGCTTGATTTCTGAAAAGGAGGAAAAAGAAATATTCTTTTCCACTTCTAGATTGAGGGTTGGCCCTGAGTATGATTTTGAAAGAGAAGACACTTGTGTTTGGAATCTTTTTCCCTCCCTTTTGTACCTCCCTCCTGCTTAGTAACTGGTGTTCTTCCCACCCTTATAACCTCACCCAGACCTGCTCTACTTCTTCCTTCAGTCAAATACCCATTTCCACTGTTGTGCTCATCTCAGCTAGGCATTTAGAGGAAAGTAGTCTGATGGAACTAATTCACCCTAAAGTATAAATAACAGCCCCATAATTTTTCAGAGATATTAAAAATGCTTATAATGTCCATTAAAAATTTTAAAGTGACATTTCTGGCCGTGTAGGAGAAAAATTATGGGATAGAGGTTATGTATGCCAGTTTGGCCTGGGACTCTTCATCTAAATAGATCTTACTTTTCACAACTTTCTCCTTTCTTCCACTTTCCCCCCATAGGTTTTCTAAAAGCCCCACAGTTTTTCACAGTGGCAGGCAGAGTGAGGGCTTCAGCAAGGTAGGGGCAGGAGTGGGAGGAACTGTCTGTATGTCTGGGTTATCTGGAAGTTGGGTGCTGGGAAGAATGGCTCTGGTGTATCCTTCTCACCCTTCGTCTAGGAAGTTCTTGCCTTACGGACCTTTGTTGCCGTCCAGCTCTGCCCCTCTCTATCACTGTCCTTCTCACTCTCCTTACTTTTGCCTATGTGTCTCCTCCTTCCCTCAGGGAGGGAGCCCTCCATCTCAAGTGATACTCGAACAGATTCCTCAGCGGAGACCTATCCCTACAAACACTCCCACCATGAGTCTGTGGTCAGTCACTTCTCTTCTGATTCTCAGGGAACAGTCATCTATAATGTGGAGAATGATTCCACGTCTCAGAGCAGTCGGGACACAGGTAGGGATGTACGGAGTGGATCCTGCTTGCCTGATTCAGTTCCTGCGTAGAGGGTTTCCAAGGAAAAGTAACTGGGGAAAGTCAGAAACGTTTGTCATGCAAAGGGAGAAAGGCACAGAACTTGGGTAATTGAGTGGGATCAAAAGGAGCAACGCAATTCTGAATGAACGATGATTTTCCACTGCTCCCATTCCTGTCCACAGCAGCCTAGCAGTAAGGACCGCTGTAATGGATTAACGACGTGATTGTTTATTCTGAAATCTGCTTTCCTCCCACTGTGCTCTTGATCCCTGCCCTTCTCATAGTGCCCCAGTGAACTCTTGTAGTCTTGCACCTCATCGCGTTCTTTTGCCAGACTTTGTCCCAAGTGAAGGGGTTTGAGAGAAGGGGCCACCTGCTCATCACCTTGCCAGGCCTCCTAAAGGCAGAGGCACCACAGAATGAAAGCTAGCCTGTTTGTTATTGTGAGTTCCAGGCAGAGGACAGTCTTACGTTTTTCTATTGTTCTATAGGAGAGCATGCCCGTGTTAGTGATGGAAATCAGTACAGGGCATAAAAGGAAGAACAGTGAGTGACGGACTGCTGAGATGGAAAGTTCATCGCCTAGAACAATGCCCATACACTTACAGACTTGGGAATTAGAGCTCATGGCTGGAGATTGGTGGTTTATACTCTGTGCATGGCTTTTTTTTTTTTTAAATAGAGAATTTTAAACATACTCAGAAGTATACAGAAATACAGAATAGTGTACTGCCCCTTCCATGTGCCCATGACCCAGTTTCAATAATTATAACTCATGGCCAATCTGTTTTTATCTGTACCTCTCTACCCACTTCCCCCACTCCTGGATTATTTTGAAACAAGTCCCAGATATACCACCTTTTCCATAAATATTTTATTTTGTATTATCTAAAATATAAGAAATCAATTTTTAAACAAACCATTATCACACTTAAAAATATTAACGGTAATTCCTTAAAACCACTAAATAACCAATGAGTGTTCAAATATCCAGTTGTCTTATAAATGACCTAATTTTTTTTGTTTGTTTGGTTTGACTCAGAGTCCAAATGAGGTCTATACATTGCGATGGGTTGATACATCTTTTGCGTTTCTTTTAATCTGTAGGTTTCTCCCCTATTTTTTCCTTGCAGTTTAATATTGAAGAACTAGGTAGTTTGTCCTGTAGATTCCCCACATTCTAAATTTTGATGATTGTGTCCCTAGAGTAAACTTTAGCCTTTTTCTCTGTGCTCTGTATTTCTTGTAAATTGGACCTAGAGGTTTGGTCAGATTCCTGCTGGGTTACTTTTGATGACTATTGCTTAGATGACTACTGCAAAATGTGATTTTTTTTTTAAACCATATTTCTGAAACTGTGAACCAGGGATAAGCTAAGTCACAGGATAAATAAGGCGTATTTTCCAGGAGAGTCAGGTTTAAGGGTTTGTGAATGGCTGGAGGTGGCAGAACCCCATTGGTTTAACATTTGTAGGTCTAGTAACTCCAAGTGATTTCCTCCTTCCTGAAATCTCATATGGGTCCAGAGGTAGCAAAGGATCAGATAAAAGCAAAAAAAGATCACATTGGTAATTGACTGAAAATATGTAGCCCTATCACTACATTGCTACATTGCTAATACCTGAATATATACAAGAATCTTTATATGCTAACATATGAAAACAAATTTCTGTTAACTCTCCATGTATTTGAGAACTGAGGGGATTTTTCTCTAAGCCTGTTTTCCAGTTTAATTCAGTTGCTGAGTTCTGGCCTCCAGCACCTTAGATTATCATATCTTTTAGAATCTTACCTTTGCTGCTGTCACGTCATACTCACACATTCACATACGCTGGGCATAAAAAGCAAGGCGAGTGACATAAAAAAGCCCAGATCTCCTGGGCTTCCCAGCAGTTAGTAAAGCTTGATAAAGTATGGTTGGGGATGGGAAGGAGAATTAGTCAAAGTTCACATGTTCTTTTAAATGATTCACATTTAAGGAAGATTTAGAACTGGGTCCTAAAGCCATACGCAATTAGAGCCCTTATGGGCAAAAGCTGAGGCACCTGGGATAAAATCAGATGTCATGGAATTAGGCTTTACTTGGTATGTGTTGCTAAATAAATAAAAGGAAAGCTCTGTCTTCTGTTTATGAGAGTGGAAATATATTGGTACATGACATTTTCACACAATCTTTAAAACTTCCGCCTTTTAAAAATGACCAATGAATGTGTCCTTTGGGTCACTGGGAAAGATTATGAGGGGGATTGAGAATGGTAATTGCTCTGGACACATTGTAAATTTGGAAGCTCCCATGAACTACTTGTGCTTCTTTGCATTTATTTGTTGAGAGATTCCTGCTACACTTAAAGTAGTTGGCCTTGGCACCTACAGCTTTCAGTCCGTGAGTACACTGAATTTGTGGCACTGCCACGAATCCCAAAGGGAGATTAGGTTCTCAAGAGGACGGAGGTCAGTCTCAGCTACCAGCTTACCCCCATTTCCTTGTTCTTTTAGGACACCTGACTGATAGTGAATGTAATCAGAAACTCACATCCAAGAAAGGGTCTCTGATAGAGCGCAAGAGGAGCTCTGGCCGGGTTAGGAGGAAAGGCGACGAGCCCCAGGCTTCAGGCTACCACAGTGAAGGCAAGCCACCCTGCACTGCTTCTCTTTCCTGATTTCTATCACCCTCCTGTCGCACTCCATACTGGCTTCTTTCTGCTCAAAGGGCTTTCCTGGATTTCTCGACTTTGGGGTCTGGGTATCCATGAGCACTTAAACATTTGTATTTGTTTCATTCTTTGCGTTTTTAGGAGAAACACTGAAAGAAAAGCAGGCTCCTAGGCATGCCTCTAAACCATCCAGCAGCACCAGCAGGTTAAGGGATTTTAAAGAGACAGTCAGCAATATGATCCATCACAGACCATCCCAGGCTTCTCAGACCAACCTGGGATCTCCCTGTGGTGGGAGAGGAGACCAGACTGACAAGAAACCTCCTAGGAACCTGCTTTTACACTCTCATGACTGGGAAGTAGAGAGTACCAGCAGTGAGTCAAAATCCAGTTCTTCTAGCAAGTATCGACCAACGTGGAGACCTAAACGGGAGTCTCTGAATATTGACAGTATCTTTAGTAAGGACAAAAGGAAGCACTGTGGCTATACCCAGCTTAGCCCATTTTCTGAGGATTCAGGTGAGATAATTAGGGAACAATTGGGCTTTTGAAGAAAGTTGATTTATGTATTTTAGAAACCTGGGTTTTCTGATAGACTTGGCAAGGTACATGTTTACTCTTATGTTGGGTCTTTTGGGGATATAAATGCAGTAAATGAGTGGATGGAGGTGTTATGTCTTGATTTGAGGCAGATGCTAAATCTTTCTCCTTTTTCTTACCTCTCCTTTGATCTGGATAGCCAAAGAATTTACACCAGATGAGCTAAGCAAGCCACCTACTTACGACTTTAAAACTGGTGGACCAAGCCCCCAGTACAAGCCCTGGGGCTCAGCACGGCCCGGGCCTCACCTTTTAGAGCAGCACCCTCGCCTCATCCAGCGGATGGAGTCTGGCTATGAGAGCAGTGAGAGGAACAGCAGCAGCCCTGTCAGCCTGGATGCCGCCCTGCCTGAGAGTGTCTGCAGGTATTGTTTGGTCTTTGAATAGTGGCTTTGTCCCTTGCTGCAATGTGAGCCACCAAGAGGCTCTTAGGTGGACTTGATTACCATCTTGTGGGCGTGCAAGGCATTGTGCTTGATCTACTTTCTGTGGCAACAGCGCCCTCTGCTGGGAGGAAGAGCAAAGGTATTTGAGAAAGGAGAAACAGCTTTTATACTATGTATAAAATGATTGTTTAGTAAATAACTTTTAATGCAAGAATGAATTAGTGAATCAAAACTTATATAGTCTCAAGGTCAGAGAGAAAACTGAATTGTTATTTATTCTTGCCTTTCATTGTAGGATAATTTCTGGGTTTTTTGTTTTGTTTTGTTTTTTTAGGGTTACTGGGGACCCTGTGTGTTATGAAGTAAAATAATTCATAATTCCATGAGATAACAGTGATAGTTTAATAGTGCTCATTGCACCAGTTTGCTTTATAACTTTCAGATCTTCGTGCATTGTTTTTACTGAGTTGCCATAGAGGCAAGTTTCCTAACAGTACGTAACTGCTTTGAAAGGAGTGATTATATCTTCTAGAAGGGTGATAACCACATCCTCACACTTTCCCACTGCTCTTTCCTGGCCACAGGACCCTGTTCAATTTCACGCATGAGAAGATGCTACAAAGATGTAAGAAAGAGGAAGGCAATCCATGTTAGAGCATATGTTTATTAATTCATTAAATAAGTTTTGTGCCAGACACTGGGCTAGATGCACAAACGTGAATGAGGTGAGATGACATGGGAGAAAGAATGGGTATTTCCATTTCTCAGAAGTAGCTTAGCAGATACTTTATGTTAGTTCAATGCTTTGTTGTTTTTTTTTGAGGAAAAATTTTTTTTTTTTTTTTGGCTGAGCCATCCTGCTACCTGTTGGCAGCTCAGCGGCTGCTCAGCTCGGGCTGTACTCGAACCGCTGTTGCTCAGAGCTCAAACTCTTGAGC